GAAAGAAAAGAGCACAACAGCAAGTTTCCTAATTCATGCAAAAAGCCAGCAAGACCCAGATCCAGAAACCTCACAAACACATCATTCAGGTCCATAATGACAACTGACTTCCAGGCTCCTCTGAAGTGCAAACTGCTCCTGTTATAGTTCTGACAGGGTTGCCCAACTGCCCAGAGCTCTGAGATTAGAGCAGAAATACAAGCAGCAACAATGCTCTAGAAGATGACAAATGCATCCTTCTCAGCTGAGAATTTAGACAGCTTGTAGCTTTTTTAAAGGTGGGAGGAAGCATAAAATGTTACAGCACCACACATCAGTACTGTAAAAAAAGAGAAGTAAAAGATGTGCAATTACAAATAATCATGTTCCTACACTGTCAGAGAAAGCATGGAAATAAACACAGTACAAGATAAACACATAAGGTTTTCAGTCTCCTGGGGAAAGAGGTAATGACTCCCAACAGAAAAAAAAATAGCTAAATTAAGGTTGTAGGTAACAGTACATTGTGATTTCTTTAGTATCTGTTTTAGTACTACATTAGAAAAAGTACTTGATTAAAAGCCAAAAAAAATTAAAACATTCTCAGTTACACAGATATGGCCATGTAGTCATGCAGCTGCCATTTCTCAGATTTCACTAAGAAAGTTAACACCTTACAGGCCTTCTCTTTCACCCCTTTCAAAAGGAGCATCTACAGTGACAGGAGAAACACCAGCTAACTCTAGGGTTAAGGGTTTTGCTCAGGATTTGGAAGATTAAGGCTATATTCCCAACCCAGTGACAGGCTGCTCATGACCCTGGTGAAATTAGCACCAGGCAAGTCAGTGTAGGATGCTCTAGAGCTGAAGCCCCTTCTCTGCCTGAGGTCACATCAGCTGTGCTCCTCCCTAGGCTTAGTCTCTCTCCCTGGTCTACAGTGCACAAGGGACACAGAGATATTCACAGTTTCTCTAGAACACAGAGACTCTGCACTCACCCAAGGCTGCAGGTGATTAACCAGCCCTGAAAGGAGGCCATGGGGCTGCAGCATCAAGCACAGCAGTAAAGAGCCTGCTCAAGGCATGGACATGCCTTCCTGTGGAGTTGTAATGCAAAATAAAGCAGTTTCTACAGGACAGACTGAAAGAGTTCAATATCCTACCACCAAGCCAAACCAACTCCTCACTTAGCCTGAGATCCACGTGCTCCCAAGGCAGCTGCCAGGCCTCTCTGGATTGAGTAGGGAAGGGTTCTCAGCCCCTCAGTGCTGTGCATCCTGCTGCCTGACAAAACCCCTTCTGTCCATCAAGACCACCGCATTTCTGTATTTCCACTTACTACAGACATGCTGGGAGATTCCAAGTTTGAGGCACAGAGTCACTGTGGTGACTCACAGAGAATTTGGGTAGATTACTCCTAATCTGGGACCATATTGTCCCCAAGGAGGCCTTGGTATTTTAAAATCATCAACTCAAGTTGGTGGCTGAATACCAAAAGAGACTGACGACAACAGCCACACACAAACTCATAACTTCTTTTCCCCTCTATCATAGCAAGTTAACTACCAAAGCAGCACTCATGACTATATTTCTACACAAATAAGAACTCCCACTGACATAAATATGAGTTTAGCATGAGCTAGACATATATAAATGTAATTCCTACTAATAAGCACATTTGGAGCTGTCAACAGTTATTTAAGTATAACACTAAGTAGCATGAAGAGACAGCCATAAACACTCCATATTAATTCAACTTGCAAGAAGAAGGTCAGGGGACAAAAAGCAAAGCAAAACGAAACCCAGAACTTTTCAGATGGACTAGGACAAAACCAGTTGGAAAATAATTTTATTTTTCAGACTTCTAAGAAAATTTACAAACAATGGTGGTGTAAAAAAAAAAAAACCCTATAAAAAAGTTGACATTTCTCAAACTATAGCATCAAAGGAAGTTACAGAGCAACAAGCATACAATGAAATTCTATTCATCAAATTAGTATTAGTTAAGTAGTTAAAAACATAATAAGTAAAGTCTAATAATAAATCTCTACAGCTTACTCAGAAATTGTAACAATCAATTCTGAGCTTAAATTATACTTACAATAGACAATTAATTCACCTCTGCAATCATCTACAGCACTGAAATCATCTAGGTCAAATTACATAGCAAAAGCACACCTTGGAAATCTGTAAAGGACATCTTGAGCACAGCACAATTACATACAACAAAAAGCAAATCACCCTGCATGCTTGCTTCTTAACCCCCAGTGTCTGAGATACAATAGACAAGTAATAGAAGCAATATTTAGTAACTCTTTTCATGCTGGTTCTATTTTTCATGCAGAGTGACAGAAAGGCTTCCTTGCCCTGTTTTCTGTTTGAGCCTTGGCACTTTCCCAGGTCTGCTCTCCCTGTTTTCATCACCATCCTTGTCACTAGAGGAGCAGGTGGTTGTTAACAAGTCAATCCCATCAGGACCCCCACCATGCCCATCTTCACCCTGCAACCTCTCTGCAACCCTTCACATGCTGAACTCCAACATGCACAGGAGACATGCCCAAACCGAACTTCCATGTGCCTTTTGTGCCAAAGGGCACAAAACAAACAAATGCTTATAGCCTTAATTACTGCTGCAGACTTTACTCGGGTCACTTTAAATAGTAGGCACTTAAAGGCCATTTACACAATTTAATTAACAGCTTAACTCAAAATTGCAAAGTAACTCCAAACACCAGCACACTAAAGCTTTTTGAGCACGAATTTGAATAAACATTAAAACCTGGTGTTTTCATCAACCCATAAATCAACTCTTCCTGGCCCTAGCTTAAATATATTCTGTTCAAAGTACAAGGAGTAATAATTATTTTTTAGTTACAGCCTATGGATTTGTGCTTTCACTGAACTCATCAGGAGAAATGCCAAAGACAGCGTCCATTAAATACTGCTAAAATAACTCATTCATGACAGTTCAAGAGAGTGCATCAAAGGGTTATTTTTTCTTTCAAAAGTAAAAACAAACCCATGAATCATTCCATTTAATGAGACTTCTTTCGTGACTGCTCATAAATGGGTTTATAAAAAAAAAAGCAGATGTGCATATCTCATGCTAAAACAAAAGTTAGGAAGAAGGTTGCACCAGTGTTTATCACTAAATTTGTTTAAGTATAGACAATATCTGAAATTCTTGCCAACTTATTAGGACAGCTAGAAACACTGTTAAACCTGGCAGCACTTTGTAATAAAAGATGTGGGTATTTATGTCATTGGGGTCAACAGGCAGTTGTAGTGACATAATTTAGCTTTTCATGATTTTGAAGATATCCAAGGGAACACTCACTTTCAGCTTCCCATCTTCCACAGATAGCCAGGGTAAGATCTGAAAAATTCACATCTAAACCAACAATTCTGATCACCCAGAAACACTTAGGTCATGTGAGTTAATTGTAGCTGAATTATCTCTTTCCTCCTTGCCTATAGCAAAGCCACTTTTAAGCTTTCTAACCCCAAAGCAGAGCCCTTCCAGAAATCAGTCCTGGTCATTTTTCCCAAATTCTCCCTGACTACAGGGAGCAGTCACAGGAAGCCAACAGCAGATGTTGGCTGTGCACCCTCTGCCTGCAGCCACGCTTCCAGAATGGGGCTGGAGGCCTTTGAGGGCTTGTGGTGCAGGTGGCTGGCAAGGATGGCCTTGGAAGATCACTGATCCCACTGAGCACAGCCTTAGAAAACCTGTCCCACAAGTGCCTCCCTACCTGCCAAGTGCTGCAGGCACATGGCACAGGAACAGCCAAGGTGCTGTGATGGGGCTGTGCAGTGGCCCAGGCAGACAGAGCTTTCCAGTTTGCAAACATGTGAAGGCACTCAACCATGCAAAGGCATGGAACACCTCATGAGAAGAAACCAATCCCTCAAATTTATAACCTTTTAATTTTTCTTTCATCACCTACAAGGCATTCAAGCCCTTTCCATAGCAGTGGTTTATGTAATCTCATATTTAATGAAATGCACACACTTCAATGGCAGTGTTTAATCCCTCATGCAGAAGTCTCTCTTGCTGAATCCTTGCTTCACACATTCCCTAAATTAAGCACTCCCTCTAACCTTCCCAGCCTTTCAACAGCTCACTAATACAAGCAGCTTTAACTTCTTCAAGTTTAGCCAACACATTCACAAAAAAAAATCTTCTCTAGCACGGATAAAATCAGATACATTTTCATACAATGTATAATTAATGTATAAAGCTTACTGCCATAAAAAGGCAAGAACACAGCAGGTCCAAAAAGAATTTATAAGAATATCAAAGTCTTAGATACTGGCAAATGTGTTTGGAAAGGCAAGTGAATCTCCACAGTTTAGGTATTAAGTCTTTACATGACTGGTGATAAAAAATAAATTTTTCTGCAAATAAACTGTCCTGTTTGTAGGCTGCTAGCGAAATTTTGTGTACCTGCTCTAGAGTACCTGTCATTGGCCAGTCACAGAACCAGATTGTCATGCTGACTTGACTATCTTGTATTTCTCCAGTGAGAAACTGGTCTAACCTGGCTTCTTGTGCAAGGCATGTTCAAACTACAGTGACAAAGAAAAGGAAAACATCAATAAAATAAAAGTCTGCATTCAGATCTCCTTAAGAGCAGCACATACTATTTGACCTCCATTCTTTTCTTGTAAATACTCACAGCAAGACAGGTCAGTGTCTTCCATGCTTCCTAGCCATTATATGACAAATCCAGTGCCTGAAAAACTTTTATTTTTCACTTACATGTACCCAAAGCCAAAATTGGCCAATTTAAAAGTAGTGATTGTGGTCTATATTGTTCAGTGTTTCCTTGACTAGGCAGAGATTTTGAGGAAACCATGTGCTAATCCTCTCCATTTCAGCATAAACAACAGAAAAAGTTATTACCTGTTCAGAGTATAAAGGAAACAATATTACTTATGACCTACAACTTAGGTAACTTTAAATTAATCATGCTCTATTAACTAAGGCTCGTTAGCATCCGCTCAGTGTTAGGTATTTACCTTTAGTCCACCACAGATTGGACAAGATGAAAAAAGAGCTCTTGTCATCCCAAGGTGGGGGCTACATGTGTCACAGGGGTCAGCTGAGGCCCCACCAGGTGGTGACAGCTCACTACTTTTGGAGTCTGACACCTGTCCTTGTAGTTTTGTGTCTGACCACCTTGAAACAAAATCCACATATGTCTCATCACTTGAGTCCTTGCTGCTTTCTGTGAGTAAGGATGAAGGCCTCCCTCTGTGCTGGCTGTGCTCAGCTCCCCTCCGTGCTTCCAAGTGTGGTAGCAGCAGTCTTGGGTCACTGGCACCTTGAGCTGGCAGGGCCTGGTCCTTGGGTAGTGTGGAATCTGCACTCTTCAGCTGCACTTCCTTAGAAGCTGTCTGTAACACACTCCTGGGTATATCATAAACGTGTCTGAGAGAGCTGGGAACCTGATACTCTGATCCCACACCTCTCTGAGACTCACCGTGAGGGCAAGTACATAGACTCTGATCTGAAGGAAAGTTCAATGGCAAGCTTAGCAATGATCCAAACTCATCACCATGGCAAATGTCTAAGCTCCCAGCATAGGAAGAGAAGCTCCCAGAGTAGGAAGAGTGACTACCAGTAGCTATTCCACTGTCAGAAGAGCTCTGACGTCCGATTTCCTGCAGCTGTCTGGACCGCAGGGGCTTCGGAGGGGGCTTGGTGGTGCCACGTGCCCCTTCTGGAAGGGTCTTCTCCTCTCCCAGGTGAATGCCCTTGGCAGCTGCCAGCCCATGGCTCTCCTGAGAGGTGCTGGCTGAAGATTGCTCAGGCCACACTGTCAGCCTGCTCCCAACGCTGACATCCGAGTGGCTGGTATCTGAAGATGAGCTCGAAATACTCCTATCATCTCCTGGAAAAGAAGGAAACACATCAACCTACCTTTAAAACACAATCAACAGACTTAAGCATGGCAAGTATGTACAAACAGGAAGGGCCCAGAGATTCCATCTGCTTTTTGTAAGTGGAACTGCCGTCAGAAAGCCAGAAATTCCTGCAATAACTCACAGCCCCACGGGAAAAATAAAATGCAATGGTATGTTACCTTGCCATAACCCTACCACACTGTGAAACATCATGCATTCGAGGCTAAATTTTTTAAGTTTATGCACCAAGCTCTCCCCTTTTCAAACATATTTTACTTTCATACAGTTAAGTGGGCTGCTGTACCAAAATATAGTCATACATCACTGTACAAATAAAAATAAGAATAATACTGTTATAAAAATGTTTACATATCTATATACAAACATATCCTCTGTGATTCATTTATGTCTATCTTGCAAGATAGTTTTCTTCAATAATAGTTGCAAGAAAGGCATTTTAGCAGGTAATTACTGCCATCAAAGACAGAATATTAGTGGAAAAATTAAACATTGGCATGAAAGAGCACAAGGACAAAATACAAACATCACAAACAAATAAAAACCCAAACAAATACAAAACCACTTTCTTGTAGCCCAAAGTCAGAAACTGTACACAAAGTTGGGTCATGATTTCTGACTAGAAGGACTGAATTAAAAAAAAAACAAATCAGGCATTCTTATCTATCCAGTCTCTTTTTTTTCTATCCATTCAGTTAAGTCTAGTAGCTATGTGCAAATTAAGAAAAACTTCAGGAAGTCTCACTGGAATTCAGTCACATTACCCAGCAGTGTCTAGGCCAAAGCACCATGGACATGTATATAAGCACATAATTAAGCTCCTGAGGATCTTCACAGGACAATTTTTATGCTTGTAGGCTTTAGAGTCAAGAGCAAAGCAGATGTTTGGATGATCTAACTTTGGCTATTAAACAGTTCAAATGGCAGTTCAGGGCACAGGCTCTTTTACAAATTCAGGGCTAGACACCAATTCTACTTTGATACACTAACAACTCCAGAAAAGGCATGTACAGATAGCAGAGGAAAGCACAGGAGTCCTATGTGTTACTGTAAAAATCTGCTGTAAGCCTGATGTGTGAACCATACAAGTGAGTCCACCTCACAGGCTGCACTGACTAAGGTACTTAAGCAAATATAAGATTTGATGCAGACAGTTCTTTTTAAGTTTTACATGCAAAAATTCAGTAGGACTCAGCATCCTAAATGGTCTTCCTGGTTTAATAGTGTTTGATTCAAAACTCTGCTGAGTTGAAAACCTCCAATCTACATCAAAGGACTTCGGACAATGCTGTTAGAGAACTGCCCCACAAGAAACATACCAAATCAAATGTCTTGACCATTTCTCTAGTCATTTTCTTGTAAGCTCCACATCTTATAACACAGGCCATACAACTTTTAAAGCCTGGACAGGAAGGAACATAACATAGTATTTTTATTTAATTAAAGATACTTCTTACCTCCGCTACCTTGACGACTTGTATGGGACAGCAAGCTCAAACGCTTTTCTAATTGCAAAGCTTCATGAGCCAATCTTTCTTCTGAATAGGCTGGGTTTGTACTTGGATCTTTAAAAAGAAACAGAAAATAAATAAATAAATAAGGTAACGTGGAAAATAAAAAAATAAAAAAAAGAGAAAAAGACATTCTTATGCTTGAAATGCTGATTGGAAAAATGTATGGGACAATCTGACTTCAATCATATCCTGGACATGTGCTACACAGTAACTTAAAAAAGATTCTTCAGAGATTATACCCAATGCCTGTAGTAGACAGAACACTGAAGAGCACAGCACCAAAGTTGATAGCTACAGAAATAAGTAGCATCCAGCAGGTCTAGAGAACTTGAAATCTAATCTGACCTACATCAAATCTGTACTGAATTCATTGGATTCACTATGAATTTTAACATTCAGAAAGACCAAATTTTTCATCCTAGAAATTTACAAATCTACATCATAAAGGCAGAATCAGAGGGTTTAAACTGACATCTTCCAATCCAGATCATCTATAAGACTTTGCTTTCAAGTTGGATGTTCAGACGATCATTGAGTTCAGATGTCACAGATAAAATAAGCAAGCTGGTGGCTCTCTGTCTTCATGTTTAATACAGAAAAAGCTAGGAAAACTTCTAAAATGTACTGTTACAGATTTTCCCTATACATTTTAGTGAGCTTGCCATTCCAGCTGAGATAATTTCACTGAAGGCAGCTCATTATATTCCAAAAAAAGAAAAAAAAAAAGCAGGAAGACCAAAGAAAAGCAGAATGTGGAAGTCTCATCAGTAAAACAGGCCAGTTTCCTCTAAATAATTTTATTTCCAGAAGGCATAACAATAAAACCAGATGTTGGAAGTAGTCATAACCATTATCCCAGAGAAACCTTACAGATCCCTTCAAATAGCACTGATGAGTCTGTCATGCTCAGCAGTTGCAGAGATAAGGTCTGCTAACTTTTTCACCAACAGAAACTTCAGTAATTCTTATTAATACACAGGGAAAGTAATTAATGACAGCAAAAACAGAGTCGCTTCCTTACAATTGCCACTCTTGTATAACTGATCAAATGGGCAGCAGAAGCAAACCACAAAAACACTGAATCATTTAATGAGAGGAAAAGAGGATGAAAAAGGCTATACATTGTTGTGATTGAGTTAGTAAAACAAAAACCAGTTGGAAAAATGAAAGAAAAATTTCACTTTTCACCCCAGGTCTTTTAGTTTTAAAAGACTTGGTTTTGATATTGCCAACACAGCAGTCAAAGCAAGCTCATAATCAGGGGAAGGAGCACTGCCAGCTCAGCTGAAGCTCCATGGGAGCTCCCTACATTATCAACTGCCCCAAGAAACAAACTGCCACATCTCTCCTCTCTAATGATATTCCCTTTCTGACCTGTCCTAGGTAGGAACAGAAATGACAATGCTGAACTTTCTAACTTTACTTTCCCATGTTGAGGAGGTTTCCATCTTTGGCAGTCTGCAATCTGGGTAAGATGAGCAGAAAGACCAAGATATACACAATCCACCTATAACAACACACACTGGAACCCAAGGGTGTTCTAACAGGGACAAGGCAACAATGCCCTTGACAAACAGGGTCTGTGACCCCTGAGTGTCCCAGCTCAGACAGAAAATAAGACTGTTTGATGTGGATTATTTTGTTAGGTGTCCATTCCTATTTACACTGCAAGACAGCTCATATTAGGCATTGAGTACCTCAAACCTGTGTGACTGCTTACTCAAATGAAACCCCCAGTGCTTCCATATGGACCTCTGCCAAAGGAAAACACAACATTTGGCCACCAGCACCTGTGGTACAACCCAGACATGTCCATGCAAAGATCTTCTCAGTAGCATACAGTGTTACAAGCTGCTGCCTATTTTTTCAGGTACTCTACTCCAGTACTTTGCTGTATCTAGTTAAATGCCTTATGTCCAGAAAAGGTCCAAGAAAGATGTTCCACAAGCACTTTGAGTAGAAAGTTGTCATAACAGATCAGCAAATTGGTCAAAAAAAGATGCAAACAGACACTAATCCTTCCCACACCAAAGAACTCTCAGTGGGAAAGGTCCTTTCACTTTCCTCAGAACATGACTACTTGACAAATACAGATGTTCAGAACATAACTAGGGCACCTACACAACAACTAGTTTATTTAAGTAAACTATGTCCCTCTTACAGACAGCAAAAGATATAATTAAAAAAAAATCAAACAACTGATCTTGTAAAATTATAACAAAATACAAGATGAGGTAGGAGGGAAGTTGAAGTCAGAAAGTTTGCACTTCACATGTTCAATAGCTTCCAGAAGTCAAATTCCCTATCAGCTACACAGCTACAGAACACACCAGGTTTCACCCAACAACATGAAACCTCTAGGAATACTGTCTGTCCAACAGAACTGGAAATTTTTTGGTTAACCTTCCCCTTAAAGATTGCCTATGGATAAAATGTTTGTATAAAATTGTGTTCATAGTTATGTGCTGCTCTCATCACCCAGGTTTGTGAAAGATTAAGTAGAAAAACCTTCCTCAGCAAGTTCTAGGAAATACCTACTGAAAACTTCAAAACTTGACAAACATACAGTCTAAGTTTTAGGTAATTACCTATCAGTCTTAACCAAGTCTTCGTTTCACCTTTAATCTTCTCTGCTAATAAGCCAGACTTCTATGGGAATCACACACGATATTATTCCCCAGAAGTAACAGACTCTTGTACCAGTATTCTTGGTTACAGATGACCAAGCTCTAATCGGGACATTTTCCTACAGGATCTGACTATGGATTGAAGTCACTGGCAGCCACTTTTTAGGGACCTGTCCTCATTTTAGGGACCAGTCCTCATAACCTATGACCTCCCATGAGTGCTGTTGTGATAGCCCTTTTTCTAATACATTTTTTGGCCATAATACTACAAAGTTGGATTTGTTTGCATCATCCTCTAGTTTTTGCATGCCCTATACACAACCTCTAAATAACTGGGTGGCAATTTGCCATGTTAGTAACCCAGGGGGACAGAAGCAGCATGACCGGTACTGAGCCAGCTGTCCAAGGAAGTTCCAACAGCTTCTGCCCACACAACATCTGAGAGCAGCTCCAAGAACAATCAGTACCTTCCTTTCCCAAACTGTTAACAAATGGATCCTGTCCTGTGATTCATTCAGGTCCTTCAATTAATAATTTTTTTAATCATTTTCCAATCAAACATGGATCCCTTGCAATGAAGAAAATCATCTTCTATGTGAGGCAGTCATCGAAATCTTCTTAAACACTGCTTTGGGGCAAAGGGGAAGGATTACATCAAATTTAGCTGGACTAAAAATGCCTCTGCTGGAGATTTTATTTTTACATTACGTTGGTGGGTATTCATTAAAGCCACATCAGCTGCTCATCGTGGGAGATTTAGAATATTTTGGTAACATATGAATAAAGTGTCATAGTAATTCAAAGCTCCAGGGCTGTTCAATAAGCACCTGTCAGGAAAAAATGTATTGTATCCAGTCAGTCAGCAGCCACCTAATTGATTACATGCACCTTTAAAATGCAACACTGGGTAATTACTTTGTTAAACAAAATTAAATAAGATAGGCTGAAAATCTCTCTTTTCTTTCTTCCTGTGTAACTGTAGGCACATTTGTAAATCAGGCCTGGACCCTCACCTTCTTGCTAACATCTCCACACCTTGTAAGGTGTCTGGAGGAATGAAAAGATGCCCTAAAAATCTGAGGAGGATCCATCTGGTACAAATACTGCAGAAGGCAGCCACAGAGCTGTCTTGCAATGGCCAAAGGTGTATCAAGCTCCAACAAAAAGCAAGAGCATCAGATGGATCCTCAGCAAGCAGCAACTGTACACTCTCCACTCAGTCACAAAGCAGCCTGATAAAGCTTCCAGAATTAAAAAAGAGCATCCAGACTATCAACATCACACCTGGGGTCTTTCCAGACTGCAGGACTAGACTGTCACATAATCAGATACAGAGAGTACTGGTCTGCCCAGTGATCAAAGATAGCCCTGACGGGCTCTTGGGCCTTTGCTGTGCTCGGGTTTGGCATTCAACTGATGAATCTTGCTAGTGAAAAAAAGGAGTTCAACACACACCTGATAAACATCTCTCAAATAATAAGCATGCAGTTCAGTATAGATCACAAACCTTGCAATCAGAGATTCATTACTAAGTGTACAGATAATTAATCTGTTTACATATCTAGACTTCTGTCAAGACAGAATGTAAATTCTCTGGACTGTTTTCTAAATATCTCTTCAAGGAAAAACAAAAAAAGAGATCACACTAGTAGCCAGTTACAGCAGCTCTCTTCCAGCTAATAGCTGGGGAAAACAAGTCATCCATAGCCATCACCCATTTGAGTCCTTTATTTAAAATACTACACTTCCTAAAAATATCTACAGGTACCTATATCTACATGACCTTCACACTCCCATCTTCTATTCTTTGGGGGGGGGGAGTTATGAGACCTGATCAGGCAACTTTTAACAAATCAAAACCTCCAATTTGCTAATGAAGATATCAAAAGGACTGTTGTGGTACAATTTTGAAAAACTAATGGACTCCCAAAATAAGTACAACAAGTAATAAACCATAAACCAACTCATTTTCTTTTCCTCTTCCAATTTATTTTGGGTGTACACATAACAGAATTTTTTTTTTTATTGTGAGAATAGTAATTTAATTCAGTTTCAAAAGATCACAGAATAATTCAGGTTGGAGGGGATCTCAGGAATTCTCTAGTCTGATTGGCTGCTCAAAGCTGGTCTGCTGAGAGATTAGACCAGATTGTGATAATGTGTATGGGTAAGTCAAGTTTATAAATTCCACTGCACTGGATTTTCATTGCATATTTTATAGATGACACCATAAAATATGTACAGCAGTCATATATCCATGATATATATGATAAGAACATCATGCTTTTAAGGAAATAAGGTATTGTTTTTAAAACTACAGTCCTGAAAAGAAGATGTGAATATTGTCCTTGAGCAAACACCCCTTGCACACCCAGTTTACAAATTCCATTTGGATACTGGCTATTTTACATTTGTTTAAGAATCACTATGGCAAGTAAGAAAACTGGTCATTTTTCAGTCTTCTTCAAACCTCTACCATCTCCTATTAATTTCATGCTAACACATAAATATTTCAGCACCCCTTTTAACCATATTGTTGAGCTGTTCATACATGAAGCAACTGGCTTCATTCACTCATCCTTCCTACAGAGACAAGGACAGACTACATTGATTGCATAACATCTATAGATTCTATCAGTGCTGTGGGAGTTGGTGTCCAACACTGTCACTGTGACTGTTTTTACCACATTACATTCTTTCTCTGTGCATCTGCCCTTTTTGTGTTTTCCTTGCTTGAAAATACCACAGTGCTTCAAGCATATCTCATGTTTAAGTTGGAAAGGCACAAGCAAAGGCAAGATGCCAAATTCAAGTAGCAAACTGTGAAGAGAAGGTTCCTCTAAAAGCTTTTAAATTGCACAGAAGCAGAATATTGCATACATAAAGTACAGCTGAAGCTGTGTAGCATTCTGCAATGCAGTAAATATGAATTACACAGACAAGAGGTTTCTTGGTAGAATCCCCAGTTTGGAAGTTTTGATCTAGTTGCCTGAAGTGTACAGATAATTAATCTGTTTACAAGCTGATGCTTTCAAAGGTTGAGTGAATTTCAATACCTGACACATGGTATGCATCTGGTAGACTCGACCTTTTCAAGCAATACAGTACATTCTGTGTAACAACATACTTGATAAGGAAAATTAGTTTATGGATGAATCACCAGAACTGTACATCTGTGTGTGCCTTAAACAGATCTGTACAAGCTTCTGCATGGGATAATAAATAAAGAACATTAAACAAATATTTTTTCCAAGGAACGTGTACATAGAGAGAAACAACAAACTGGAAGAGAAAAGGGTAAAATACACAGGAATGAAAGTTAGAGGGCTCAAGGTAGCTTGGATAAATAAAGGCAAAGGAGTCTGCAAGTACATGAGCACAACTCTTGACAAAACACTTCTCCTGTCCAGGGAAATCAGATGAAATCATGTGGATGAGATTTTAATGGCAAGTACATCAAGCACAGAAGAGAAATGGAAAGACCTCAGGAAAAAGATCTTCTCTTACAAAAAACACCAAATACTCCCCAGAACACTCCACATCCACTTCATGCACCTCAGTGAGGTCAGAGCTCCTGAAGGAGGGAAGAGATTGTGGTATGTGGCACAACAACCCACAAACACCAGAAGTGATAACTAACATGTGAAAGCATATTTATTCCTATATGCTTCTGAAAAAGAATCCTCAAAGATTGTGCTGAAATTAAAATTTAAAATAATAATTGAAAAAAAAAAGACAACAGAATAGTTGTTTGTGGACTTAATTTTTCCAGACAGAAATTTTTGTTTGACAAAAATTGGTTTGACAAGACTTAGGAGTTATACATATATATATATATATATTTATATATATATATATATATATTTATATACACACATAGTTTTAGATATGCAGAAAAATGTGTTCAATAGCAAAGCTTTAAGCATAAACACTGATTTTTGTGTTTCTGTTATTAGTTTTTTTTTCTGTTTGCTTCTTTTTTTTAAACACTCCAGTTAATTGAATGCAAACATGTATCATCACACAAGAATGACTTTTGTCTGCTATTCTGCTTGATTATTTAACTTACTTCTGCCTCACAACCATGAGAAAAACAACGTGAACTGAGCCTTATGTTTACTGCATTTACTAATTTTTAACAACTATTTTTTCATCATTTATTTTCACAAGCTTCACATCATCTAATGATCTAATAAGCAAAAGATCTAATCTTGTCCATCACATTTCCTTCCTGCAATTATCTTAACCTTTTAACAGCAATATAACCCTGTTGAACACTTATTAACTGCCTAACACTTACAGAAACTCCAAGTATTCCACAAATCCCAGCTCATCCTTCACCATTCTTGCAACCTATTCCTACTGTATGCCATCACCAAATCACAGACAATTTTCTGCAGTCTCATTTCTACACTTTTGTCCTGTTTGACAGAGTCATTCTGACTCAATACTTTACTTCATCTGCTGAAATCAAAAGGAAATAGGCTTTATTACAATGTCATCCAAATTCCTCCTTGAACATTGCAGTACATGCAACACCTTTCCATGAAATAGGACAAGGAATTTAATCCTCAGACATCAGGAAAAAAAGCTCAAGTTGAAAAACTTAAATGTGATGTGGAGGCTTGACAAAGTTTTCTAAGGCTGACAAGACTTAGAAATTTGTTTTGGATGAAATCTAAACGCTCCAGAAGTTAGTTTGCCATATGCAGACATGGAACCAAGTTAAATGTATAAGTTTAAAACTAAAATTTAGGGTTCCTTTCAATTCAAACAGCCATCTTTTAGTACTGTTAAATAAGAGAGGGCTGGAGTTAGCAATATAACCAGAAACATGAATGAACCAGAGCAGCAGGGGGAAACTGGGTACATGCAGCTTATAAATCTGTACAGTGACATTTCAGAATGAAAACCACTTTGCACCCTGCACACCCTCAGTGTCTGCAAGCTGCTCTCACACCAGCAGCAGTGGGTGTGAGACATGACAAGCTCCTACTTCACTGGGTGACTCTGGACTTCCTGTATTAACCTGGGAGCACTGGACGCAGACCAAAGGGGCCTTTGGTCGGGGAGATGCCACGGACGATGCAGTCGAACAGAAAGCTGATCTGCTCCCCTTCAGCACAAGAGAGGAAAAAAACACCAGCCCCTGCAAGAAAGCACAACATAAATATGTATGGTTTTCACCTGGAAACACTAGAAATATACTTAGCTGAAGCTATTTATATAATGTAGCAATCAAAAGAGTTTAAAGTGCAAGCCATGAAAAGAAGTCAACAAGGTATTCTCCTGGGAAAAGGACTAAAAAATTCAGGGAAAAGAAATAAAAAATTCAGGTCAGCACACACACACTATACCACAAACATACATATAAATTCAATAGCTGTCTAATAATTCATGCTAATTTTATGACATTCAGACAGTTAAAGTAGTGTCTTAGATTCATAGAATGGCTTGGGTTGGAAGGGACCTTAAGGATCATCTAGCTCCAATCCCCCCTGAATGTCAAAACAGACACCTTACCCTCAACAGCTGTCCAGGTCTTTTGTTCTTATTTACCCCTAAAATTTTGTAGGTCAAACATAACAATGCAGGAAGTGTCAGGGATACTTAAAGTGTCTTCAAAAGAATGAACCAAGTTAATTCTACTTTTAACCGCTTTTAAGCAAGAGTAGCTTATTCTATGCCAACAAATTAGAATTTGGTTATATTGCTGGATTATAGTATAAATTTTCCTAGACTAAGTCCTATGTATCTATTATTAACAGAATGTAACACAACTCCACAAGTTGTCATCAGATCTTTACCCTTTGCTCTATTCTGATATTTGCTTTCCATTCATTAAGAATAGCCCCAAGCAAAATTAGAATGAGATTCACTAAATAAACAAACAAGTTATGAGCTCCATGACACATGGCTGCATGAACAACACAAAAGACTAGAAAGGCTCCACAGAACATTTTACATATTGTCAGTCCAAATATGAGCACATCAGGGAAAAAAAAAATTATTATCTTAAAACATCAGACAAAAGACCACCCCAGTAACCAGCAATTTCAGGGAAATAAAACTTCAATACCAGACAAAAAAGGAAATTAAATTAGTATATAGACCTAGAAGAAGTGCTGCCACTTCAGCAGAACCAAGCATACTAGCAAACTCCAATATAAAATCTTAGACTTGCAACAGGGTTTTGCACATTACTTTCCTTGTGACTCAAGCCCTAATTTGGTCATGTTTGACTTCTGCATGTCTCTAGCCAATTCTGAGTTGCATATGTACTTTTTTTCAATTTTACTCAAAGAAGCAGAGCTGATCTTGACTAGAATGACTGCATCCCCATCACTTTCCAAACATTTGCCCTGTCATATCCAACAGGATACCCACATTTCACTTAAGAAATTTATACACTTTTGACAGCTTGACAAAGAGCTGTGTGATTCAAACAAAAAGGATAATATAAAGTGGATCACAACCCACAACACCTACTTGAGTAAATTAGGTATAACCAGCAAGCTGTAAACTAATCTCTCTAGGAAAAACATATTCTGCTCCACACTCCTGTCATTCCCAATTTATGTCACATCTAAGTCTCTCCCAGTTCTGCTTAAATCTGTTCAAGACAACATTGTTAGAGGCATCTTCATAACTTGATTTGTCATTCCAGCACATTTGCATCTCTTCAGATCTTGCCTATCAAGAATTCTTCAGCCAAAGAAACATGAACACACCCTGGTTTCATGATCAGAGGCCATCTAGGAGACTGCAACACTAATCACACAGCCTAACAGATATGGAGGTTTCTGCTGGTGACTGGTTTCTGCTGGTTTCACTTGCAGTCTTGCCCCATCTCCCCTTCCCAGGAGATGCCAAAGTCAGAGAACATTGTATTAGGATAAAAAAAAATCCTGAGTGCAAAGTATTCAGGAATTATCTGAAATTCAGCTTTTTCTTTGAGCAGACTCCTCCTCCCTGAACAGAGCACAGAGAGTCTACAGGACACTGCACTCCATGCAGCATAAGCAAGCAGGATATAGACACAACATAGCAGAGGACATTCAGGTCTCGAGCACAGTGATACACTATGTGGCTTGGTACGTAGCATTCAGCAGAATCCTACACCTCCCTGTTGCCACTCAGGGCAAAAAAAAAGATTCCTCAAATATTTCTGTACATAAGGAGTACATCTGGACCATTTTGTTCTTTTATCACCTTTGTCAAGAGTTACTTAAACACTCTACAAGACTTTGACTTCAATGGAAACAAAGAAAGTAAATGTGTGTGTGTAAGCTGGCTGCTTAACTCAAAGGATTTTATCTGCAAATAACTATCAGGCATTTGGAAATCCCAAAGCCAAATGTGAAGACCTTTATATAACCAGTGCAAAGAGTGTATGTCCATGTGCATGTGGATACAAATCCAACAGAAAAATACAATAATCTCTTTGTAGATTCTATTCTAAATTGCTGACTGACTCTCACAGGAAACATTTTCTTTCTAGTTTTGGTAGGTAGAACTAGATTGCAAGGGAAGGAAGAAGTCTGAGGGTCCTTGCAAAAAACATCAAGTGAGATGAATGAGTAGGCAGGGCTTAACTAAAGCATACATAAAAGCAAGTGATTACATTTCTTTTCTACTTTCTTGAGAAAACTGACAAATTCACTACTGGAAATTACATATCTCAGTCCTGTGTTGGAACTGGTTTGGTGCACAGGCATTTAGAAGCCAAGGAATGTGTGGCATGCACAGTGTAATAGCATGCAGCTGTTCACCAGACTGAAGGGCTCACTCAGCTCTCTCCATGGGCTATGAGACTTGGGGAAAAGCAGCCTCCAACCACTTGCATGAGACTGAAACACTCAGCCAGTCCTCTGTGGCAATCAGCAGTAAAGCACTGAACAGTCCCTCAAACATTCAGGATAAGTTGTCAATTTCATAAAACTTCCAAGTACTACTTAATCTTGCCAATGTTGATTTTAACTGATCATATTAATAAAGCAAACCCATGGGCAAACACACTTTAAAAATGGACAATAGCTAATTGTCCAAAATTACTTCAATCTCTGTAGTGTGTGTGAAAGCAGGGAGGAAGAGTCAGTTCTTTCCCATTAATTACTCCTAACAGACAACACTAGAGCCTGAAGCCTTTTAGCTGCAGGACAGGCAGGAACCAGAGCAGCTCATTCCACAGCAATCAGCATGTACACCCCAACCCTGGCCTTGAGCAGCCCCCTTCTGCTCTTCCCTGTGGGGAAAATGACAGAGTATTCCTATTATTGCCAACTGACATATGGGCATGACAACCAAAAATACATAAACAGAGATAATGTTGGTTGCCTGCAGTAGGCCTAAGTGGGAGAAAGCAAAGAACATCTGCATATAAAGAGACATTACAATCTATGCAACCCAGGATTTTTCAAAACATTCCAGATCTTGCCCCAGTTTAACCACCCCTACTACTTCTCAATTTCAAATAAATGCAGAAGGGGAAACAAGAAAGGAAAGAAGGAAGGAAGTACCAAATTTTATCAAAGCACCAAAAGGATCACAGAAATATTCCTGCTTATCCTGCAATTAGCCTTTGTTCTTTCAAAGGGCACTAAGGGTCCCACAAGTTCCCTTCTTCAAGGAGATGCTGTCAGAAAATATGAGGCAGCTTTAAACCAGGATGTGGCAGCTAATCCTGAAGCACTTGAACATTTGGAGAGCCTGAATTCTGATGGTGTTAATGTGCCCTTTTATTACCCTACTTGAATTTTTTCACACTGACCTCCAAGTGAAGATTCTCCTGGCAACTGGTCATTTTAACTGGTGCACACTAATTGAGCTGGGAACTTGGGAAAGTGAGAGGCTCCTTTTTTCCAGCCTGTTCCTCCATATAAACCTCTCCACTGACTGCTAGGCCAAGGCACCAGCTTTTTTGCAAACAGTGTGTGACTAAGCTTCAGCTACAGAGAGAACAAAATTTTGGCCCAGAAAATAACTTATTTGCAGCTTTCAGAAGCAGAAAAAAATATTTTTAAATCTCTAGCAGTACCAATTGTGATGTTAAGAGTAAGAGGAGTTCAAAATGTAAATGTTCTTCTTCCTATTTGTGAATAAACTTGTGTGAACCATCTTGAAAATGCACCTAGATTTAATATTTGAAATCTCAGCATTATCTCAGATGGTTTCCCTCTTCCTGGACTGAGTACCAAAGCCTTTGGAGTTGAATTAAACCTGTACTAAGCAACAGAACATAATGAAGTGTTTTATCTTTATAAAAACTTTTGTGAGGAAGCATGAAACAGAAAACTAAAACAAATTCATATCCTTTTAGACCCCAGTTTTACCACAGATACACCCAAAAAAAGCTCTGTTCTAACTTTAAGGAGTAAAAAGTTTGAGGCTTCATGTCTTTTGTCATGGAGAGGCAATCAAACCACAAGATTACTGGTTCCTTTTAATGAGGTATTTATTACAGTGATATTTAAACCTTAAATTCACTAATCCTCTGCATTCAGAGCTCCACAGGATGAATGTGAGCAAAGATATGGTTTAACCTGTAGGAAAGTAACATTAATAATAGAGCCTGCATAATATTATATTACACTTACATGACAGGGTAATGGAGAGTGCTTTTGTTTAGGAATTAAAACAACTTCTGTAATAACATATCAATTTTTTTTCCTGAACACTACTTGTTTGCCTCAAGAATTCCAGAGGACTGAGGTAAAAGCTGTCTGAAGAAAGATGGTCCTTCTCTTTACCAACACACTTCTGTCAAGAATAACCAGAGTTATATTTTTCTCTAGGTTCTATTTTCAAAAAGCTTTTTCTTATAGTGGCAATATTAAATCAAGCATTTAGACTAAACACATATTTAAATGTTGTTATGCCTGTGGGTATGTTTGACTGCTTAGTTAAGGACAACAACTCCTTTAACAAGATCAGCTTGAACCTGTAAAGAGTTTCCAGTTGTGGCAGGCAATTTTGTACCAAACTGACTGTGCTGTTCTTCTCTCTGAATGCACACGTGCAGGGGAAAGACAAATACCCTTTCATGGCAACTGAAAGGGCTCAGCTACCAACACACACATTTCTTAAGAATGGTCCACAAGGTAGTGGGACCTTTTCCAAGGCACTTTTCTTATTCTGTTCACTTGTAACCTTAAAAAAATAATAATTTCATATTTTCAAAAGCATGCACACTGGGAGACTGATGACCTCGTTTCTCACCAGAAACTAGGATAAGTTTAAGGGAGGAAAAAAAAAAAAAACACCACAGATAATTCAGGTTCCATCACCTACAGTTCCTCATTTCACAGAATCATGGAGGCTGGAAAAGATTCTGACATAATCAAGTCGAACCTTTGACTGGACACCACCATGTCAACTAAGTGCCGTGTCCAGTCATTTCTTAAACACCTTCAAGGATGCTGATTTCACCACCTCTCCAGGGATCTCATTTCAATGCCTGACAACCCTTCCTGTGTAGAAATTCCTCTCAAAGCCCAACCTAAACCTCCTCTGGCACAGCCTGAGGCCACTTCCTCATCATATCCCTTGTTGCCTGGGAGAAGAGACCAATCTCCACCAGGCCACACCCTCCATCAGGTCAGAAAGATGGAATTTGGGTTTCCACTCCATAAAAGTAGAGCAACCAGAATTTACATGCAGAGCAATGTATGCAAGTCCCAGGAAGAATATATTTGGATTTGGATCAACTCTGAAATCTTCTAATTTTTCAGTTTGTTTACCAAAAAAAAGTATGCAAGTCAAACAACTTCACATCCAAACTGGCAATCTGCATATCCATCTGTGCTCACAGGCCATCAATTCAGCATGGCTTCAAACTCTGCTTATGAAATTAGAACCTTATTAATAAAACCCTAATTATATGTTATTATACCTGTGCATTTATTAACCATCCTTTTCAGATCTTGCCTACATTTTATCTGAAGTGAGAATTTGAGAAGTCCCAAACTGGCCATGGGAACAAGAGATTTATCTCCATATAAAGGTGGATCTTAGCTACTAGGCTATGGAAACTAGCTTCAGCCTGCTTGCTTTCATAAGCAAATATCACGTGGCTCCACCCCATAGTTACAAAGCTGCTAATAGGAAAGGGACCAGAGAGTTGTTCTAACTTTAAGGAGTAAAAAGTCCTCTATGGGATTTAGAAATTAGCATTTACAACATGAGAACACTGATGCTGCCTGTAACCTCAAAGCTCCATATAACCTTCCCCTCAGCAAACAACAAAATAATTAATCATAATTTAATAATCTGTACATTAAACCATGTTACCTTATCTCTTGCATAACACAAGCCATAAAATTCCATTACCTTATTTTTGCTCTGTATTCAATAGCAGCTTTTGACTGAACATCTTCTAGAGAGCCACAGGGCAATTTTTAGCCAGGACTGCACTCGGTCACATTTCTCCTGCACAGCAGGGTTGAAGCCTGCAGAAATCTACTCAGAACAGGCCCTCTGATAAGAGGCTGCCTGTTTGACAAAGTAGCACAGCTGGTTCTGCAGTCTCCATTAGGAATGAGAGTGCATTTACAATTTCTGCAAAAGGCATTGAGCAGCATTTGGAGGACAATCCCATTTGTACTTACAGAAGCCGCACCTGGTGCCCCCTTCGAAGATGAATCCGTTCGGGACAGCCCCATAGCGCCGCAGATCCGAGAGCTTCCACTGCCCCATGACACTGGGAGGAAGGTCTTTCACCAGGACAAGGATGTCATTGCAGAAATGCAGGGTAGCAGGCCCACTCTCTAGTTTTGTGCCAGGGGCTACAAAGACTTGAAATCTATGAACTATCAAATAAGGAAAAAAAATTACTACAGAATATACAAGTGTTATGTAAGTGATTCTGTTCAGCTGTGGTACTTGGAGCAAACCCTACCCACACCATGAAACTCTGGCATAAAGATCTGTGTGGAGCCCAGACAGCCACATGTAAGTAGCTGTAAGGCCATTACTCTCTATTATGCCAGTTTAGGATTGGAAAAAATCCACCATATCTTGGCCTAATGTTACAAATTATTAAAGCTGCAATGCTACAATAATTTATCCTAAATCCTCCAGGCTAATCCCTATCTCAGATTAGTCAATCATCCAGCCCAGACTTCACTTACCTCTTCCATCCTTGCATCATTACATGGGTTGCTTTCTGTCTCCTCCTCTAACCTGTGTCTCTCCTTTCCCACATGCATACAGTAAAAATAAAATGGTGCTCAAAGAACCCAAAAGCCAAGGCTCAAAGAACTAAACAAATCTCTATCACTGACTCATCTGCAACCTTTAATAAACTGCTTCACTTCCTCCCTAGCAGTAAAAAGAGGAAAATTACATTTTTCCACCTTTGTGATTATTTCATGAGTTGGTGATGGTAGATGCCAAGACATTTTAAATAACTAGGAAACTAAGTGATTTATAAGTAACAAACACTTTTAGATGTCAGTTAATTTTTTTCATATTTCACATCCTGAATTTTAAAAGAGTGGAGAAAGAAAAAGAAACACCTATCTCGTTCAAGTTTACAAAATCTAGGTTCAAATCCCAATTCCAGTTTCATCTATATTGCAGTATCCTTACCTAAAGCAGTTGTTATAGGCTGGTCTTCCATTTTCTCTTCCAAGGCTATTGCATTCTGAATAATAAGTTATTGGGATCACTCAAATCTCAGTGTTTCAAAGGGAACAATTTAGGTGAGCAAGCATATAATTCTCAAACAATTGTTTTGACCTCCACTACTGTTCTAGTTTCTTTCATATTGTGATTAGACATAAAAAAAAACAACCAACAAACAAAATAAAAACAATAAACCCACAACAAATTTGTCAAAAACAAACAACATCTGTCTTGGTAGAGAGAAGCATCGAGACTTATATTTCCCGAAGGAGGTTTTTGATGGTGTTTATCAAGAAGCAACATAGATTTAGTTTTTGGTTATGCATCAAAGATCACACAAACAGCTCCCTGCCTATGAAATCTACTGGGTAACTTCCAGGTACTCTCAGTTCTTGCATCAACTCTTCCCTGTTTCTTGCCCATGCCACTTCAAACATCACAAACTTCATCTGGGTCTGAGTCTTGCTTCTCATCTATCTGCTTGCTGTAATCTTAGTCACGATCCGAGCTGTAAGCCAACTCCTCATCTATGGCATGCATTTGCTAAGTTCCCTGAGGCTCCAGCAGAATTAGCCACAAAGTCATTCGAGTGAAATGTGCAAGGAGACAGAGATAGATCTAACTAACCACAGCTCTGCTTACAGCTCTGCCAGCAGCACTGCTAGGGAGCAAATCAATAGTCACACCATGTCCCCTTTTGGGCACGCAGTTGTTACGCAATCTGCTTAAACATCAGCTATCAAAAAGACAGCAAAACCATCATGATCAATACTGCTCAGAAAGCAATCTTTAATGCCACTTGTACTCCTCTACCCAGAATTTTGCTGGCAATTAAACCATGGGAGAAGCAGCATCAAGACTCTTTCTGCTTCATAATTGAGGAATGAAGCCCACTCTTCACACTATCGGTTGCAAGTTACAACAGCTGCTGAAAACAAAGAGCTCCAGCCCAAGTTCTAGACCACTGTCAAAATACAGCATACCCAACTCTGAACAAAGCCAAAGTAAAAGGAAAAGCATATTTGAAAATAAAACTTTTCCCATAAACTGCCTTCGTGATACATTGGAATTTTTTTCAAAATTCTTCCCAGCCTTTGGCTTAACTCTATAAAAAAATTGTGAAGACATAGAGCTGAGTACATCCCTGAACAAAAGGTAATACTTAAATCCATGACTTTCTTCAGCCCATCTTTTCTTTTTCACAGCTATGCACTGACCTGCAGTACACTAACTTCTCAAAATGAGTTGTGAGCCCAAGCACATTCCAGGAATCACATCCACCTCATCTGCTAAAAACTGAGAGAAAACACTGGGAACTCCAGTGTGAACGCCTCCATTCTGTGGTCCTCATTCAAGAACAGTGTCAGCTCCTTTCACTTTTTTTTTTTGCTTCCCAGACTCTGAGGTCATCTCTCCCTAGCCTATTTTTATCATCCAGCCACCTTATTTTCAAGGCACACAAAGGCATCCTTACTACACTTTAAGAAAAAACACCAATCACCATCCTCTGTACATCTTCTCTCTTTTCTATTCCTCTATACTCAAACTAGACTCCCTTTGACTTTGTTCTCCTAACTGAACATGCACTGAAAGACAAAATTCTGAAAAAAAATTCAATGCTTTGGTTTATTCTCCTGCCCCTAAGATTTTTTGAAATTAACTTTAAAAAATTATTGCCAGTTCAACCAATTACACTTGTTTTCTTACTTCTGCATTTCTTCACTTCCACACACACAAACTCTCCCACTTCACCTTTACTCCATGGCTGCACATGTCATAATCCAGTAGGCTCTATTCCTACCTCATTCACAGCTTTCCTTGAAAAAAACTCTTCACTGCTTTTGCATGTCCTCCATCCCCAACCTTAACCCTCACACCCAGACTGAGATTACTCCAGCACTACATCGGTGCAAGATCATAAAAAACAGACCTACTCTGTTATATTCAAGTACTCCTTCAGCTTTTAGGACAAGTCAATGCTATATATAGATCCCAAACCTAGTTCAAACAAACAAACAAACAAAAAAACCCCCAGCACTGGAAGACTGTAGAGCTGTATCATCAAAGTGCATCAACCACTCCAGCTACTCATGCTTGTATTGTTCAGCAACGCCTCTAACCTTTCCTGTTATGCAAGGCTTTATATTTGATAGCCCTGAGAGGTACATCCACACATCTCACTTCTTATAGTCCTACAGATTTTTACTGTAAAATTCCCAGGCCATCTTCTTTCTGCATATGTACTGCAAAGGAACGAGCCACAAACCCAACAGATGGCAGAGCATATGTAACAAATGATAAAGATTGCTAATGTGTGTCTCCCACACACCTACCCTCCTTCCCTAGTTATGACTAAACAAACATAAGACAGATACTATGGATTACCAACATTATCACTCTTTGTTCACCACAGTACATTTTAGAGCTGCTAAGCAAGAAAATAAAATAGGAGGAAAGAGATAGGTGAAGTTAGCTGGAAAGAATGTGTCTGATGACACTCCTTGGGGCAAAAAGTCTCTTTCTGAAATGGCACACTAGCAGCAATGAGAATTATCAATGCATCACCCAGTGGGCAGCTCAGCAAACTGGGCATGAACTGGCAAAGTTCTACTCAGGACTTTGCACCTTTTAATTCAGGCTCCCCCTGAGTCCTTTTGCCAGAATCCTTGAGTCAGTTGTAGGACCAGAAGCAGAAGTTGGATCACTTTGTTTCAAAGCTACACAGCATCAGTGTAAAAATCAAAACCCCAAGTTAAGAGCTGTCATAGTTACCCATCAGTGCTGGGTGGTACTGTAGTCAAAACCTATTGGATATACCTGCTTTAACATCTAAGGGGGAAAAACAGTTTGTCCACTCTCAAATGAGTGACAGTCTTGTCCTGAACTGTACTGTTTTATTTGCATTTTAGCTTCACTGTCCTTTGGTTTTTTTATCCTGTGGGGGGGAAAAAACAAACCAGTGTGAGAAGACAAAGGTTACCTTCCCCCAGACTGTAGCGTATTCGCACATCCCAGGCGTACATGGTTTCCTTGCTGTCAAATCCCAGCATCACAACCTGGGACAGACAGATGATGGCGAGCGTGTGATTCAGGCCCTCATAGGAGAGCCCAGGGTCCAAGCCACAGATGTCTTCTAAGGTCATGCTGCTCCTCTCCTTATGCCCTTTTGCTCGTTCAGATTTATCCTTGTACACCAGCATGAGCAAACAGTCTAAAAGGAGCAAAACTGTCAGAGATGATGATGCAGAGCACAGACCATAACAAATTTCTCAGCACTCTGCTGCAATACAAAGGAGCTTTAGACAACTGCAGGATCAGCTTGATCAAGTCAATGTAAAACTCTGATTTCTTTTCCCAGCCCACCCCCAGGCAGTTTATAGTCCTCATTTTCAGGAAGCAAACATTGAAGGTGAGTTCTAAGAGTTAAACTGCAGGCTCAAAAAATAAGGAGATCAGTAATAAATCTTCCCTCTTTTATTCAAAGTCCACAGGCATTTCAGATCCTCTCCTGAGTCCGGTGGGGCCTGACTCATTAATTCAGAGCATTAGGAACTATGCTAGGGTAGCTGTTCACATTACAGCCTCTAAAGACCAAGAGGCTATTGTTGTCTGTATTTTCATTAGAACATACTGAACCACAAATGAAATTCTTACAGTAGCTCACAGATTACCCAACCACTAAATGGCAAGCAGACTGCGCTGCGAGATTGCTCCTGTCAGCTCAGGTTTCCCAGTTAAATGCTACACAGCAGCCATTGCTAAAAATCATTATGAGCCACACCTTCTTTTATTTATTTATTTTTTAGTGTTTGCTTGTGTCACCAGTTGTTATTAACCCCTTCCCAGAGGTGTTTATTACATAGTAACCATGCAATGGAAGAAACCAGTTCAAGTGCCACATGGGGAAAGCAAGCATTCCACAAGCAAACCCAAAAGGAAAGGGGAGTCACCTCCCCCACCTTTTGCATTTATGACAAAAAGCAGCTCTCCTTCCCCCACATTCATTTCCTACCATACAGAATTCAGATGGAATTAATGGTCAATATCAAAGCTGCAACATCCACAGCTTAAGCTTAACTAAAAACCACAAAAGACAAAGACCCCCATGCACCATTTTATAAATACTGGGGCTGGTGTTCCCAGCCCCACTAAGGTGCCCTGCAGCTCTCAGCTGGGCAAGGGACTGGCAAAATCTCCACCCACAGAGATGAAAAATTACTGAAAGGCTGAACTGTCTGCTAACTAACGCAAAGCTTTGCATGGATTCCCAATTGTCTTTGTGCACCTGTTAGCAAAAACAGCTGCAACCACGGTATTTAAACATTCTGCAATACAGTTGTGTGTCTGAAGAATGGCTGTGGTTTACATACCAAGAAAAGCAGATCACCAGGGGCTTTTTTAGTAAACCTGGCTAGATTAGCTAGAATAAAAATAGTATTTTTGAGGAATATTATCAGTCAGGCTCCACCATCTACAGCCTTCAAAACTGGCTCACTCACAATAAAAACTCAGGCCCATGTTCACAGGTCTCTGTACTAGCTCTATGACCAACAGATGCCCTTTCACACAGGGAGGTTTCACAGATTTAAATGAGGTGCAGGTATTTAAAACACTAAAATACGACTGTAACAACTCAGGTAACAAAGAATTACTTACAAGCCTTCAGTCTTTCTGGCAAGAGCCAGGAAAGGCTGCCATGATCCATTCTGCAGCAGTGCAGATTCACGTTTTCCAAGTTGGGCAACATTTAGCCCTGGAAAGATGTACTTTTGGGCCCAAATGTTTTCCCTCTTGGGAACAGATGGGGAAACCTGAAGCCTACTTTTCCCTCTGCAGCAGTAAAACATCAGCTCTGTGTAACGTTTTCAATTTCCCCTTCAGAAGCATGGAAACGATCTTTTTTTTTTTTCTCCTTCCTTAATTCAAAATGTCATTTTATTTTTAAATTGAAGTGATATTTTCTGTCAAAACACTGATAAAAAATAACTACCGAGCTTACAATGTCAGGGGGGTTTTTTTTGGTGTTTTTTTTTTTTTTTTACAGCCAGCAGTCACCCTGAAAAAATAAGTTCAGCCGAGAAAATTAAAAAAAAAGAAAAAAAGAAAAAAAAAAAGAAAAAGAAAAAAAAAGTGCATTTTGAACCGGCACCAAATCCAATGTCTGTGCCTTGCAAAGTCACTTTCCCGTTGTTTTTTGTGAGGGCAGGAGCTCGTTCCGAGGCCGGACGGGGCTCCCGGGCAGCGCAGCTCCGGCACGGCCCCGCCGGGGCTCTGCGGGCACTCGCCCCGGGGATCCGGGCAAGCTGCGGGGCCCCGAGCCCCGTCCCCACCGCCGGGCCCCCCTTACCTGCCACCGGGGAGGGCTTGCGCAGCACCAGCCACCTGCTCTTCCACTGCAACGAGAGGCAAAGGGACAGGGTTAGCCGGGGCCGCGCGGGGGAGAGCGGGCTCTCTCCCCTCAGGGCAAGGGGCGGCGGTCGGGGACCCCCGCGGGCCGAAGGGGCGCCGGGAGCGGGGACCTTTTTTCCGTCTCTCAACTTGACGTGACCCTCCACCACCACGGAATCCGTCATCTTCAGTCATGATTCCGGACAGCTGCACCGGCTCGCTGCGCCCGCCCCGCGCTCCGGCCGCCCGAGGGGTCACTTCTAAAATAGCTTTATTAGGGCCCCGCGCGGGCGGGCGGCCAGCGCGGCCCGGCCCGGCCCGGCCCCCGACCGGCCGCTTGGGCAAAGGGGTCTGCGGACCGTCCCAATGACTCTTTGTTCACGTGTTTTACTTCTGGCTTGCAGGGGAAACTTGGATTTTTTTATTAATTTTTTTTTTTTTCCCCCAGGGTTTCGGAGCGCGAGGCGCGGCCCCCGGAGCGCAGCGGATCCGCTCCGGGCGCGACCCCCGCCCCGATCCGGCTCCGGACTTTGCCGCTGCCCGCAGGGGCTGCCCCGCGCCCGGGCGGCGGCAAAGCCCGCACCGGACTCATTGTGTGGAGCGGGGCTCGCCTCTGGCCGGCCAGGACGCCCCCTTCCCGCACCTTCCTTATAATGCCCAATTCTCACTTTTCAAAAGTATAATTACAGCTCTCCTTGGCTCCCAGAAGACGCTGCCAACTACCCCAGATAAAAATACTCTTCTCACTTTTTTTTTCCCTCTTTGCAATACAACTGTCACGAGATAACAACCCGCTTACACCACACCAGAAACAGCTACAATTAATAGAATAGGATGTGTTAATGATGTCCTCAGATTTATTCACGAGCAATGGACTAATTAGAGTCCATTATTCCAAAAATACTCCTGCTGCATCTTATTTGATGGTAATTAGTTCTTCAGCGTTTTTTAAACAGCACTACAGCACATTTTTCTTTCAGTAGCATAATAGAAGGGGTTTTTTAGATGTTTACATTTATTTCTTCCTTTTAAATCGGTCAGTTTCCATGGAATAACATACAATTTAATAAAACCATCTTTTAAGTGTGTTTCATAATGAATTAGGGAAGTGTTTGTTCAACTGGCTTTGCATTCTAATTCAATTTCAATATAGAGTTAGGAAAAATATCAGATAAAATTTTACTAGTACATTTGAGTCTGGTTTTCATTTTTACAAGGGCAATAATCACTTAAAGGGGGTGAAAAATATGGAGAATTAGTTTCCATGGGGTAATGCTCAACAGAAAGGCAGGGGGCAGATGCTGGAGTGCTCCAGAGGAGTGAGACTGATGCCAGGGTGGGAGATGTCAGGACATCTCTCAACCTGGACATCTCCTTGCCACCCCTACTCTGTGCTTGTAATACTGGGTTAGTCACCTCCCAGCTGAGGCTTAAATTGATTTTTATTTAGTTCCACCCCACCAATGCAGTCACAGTGGATAAACAGGCTGCTTTGAAAGCCACAAATTAATTTTAATGCATTCAAAGTATTCAAATTAGTATCAGCCAGAGATCTGTCGTTTAAACCTTTGAGGGCAGAAACCAGACCATTCAATATATTTTTAAAAAGTGTGTTATTATTTGTACTGGTGTTGCTGTGTACTGATACAAGCAGCATAGATTTTGAAAACAGGACAGCTAAAAAAACCTCTACACTAATTGTCAGAAACACCAGTCTAAGACCTTTCCTATCAAACAGCCACCTTCTTTACTGCAAGGGAAGACCAAGAGAATATACACAACACAAAACTGCAAGATCAAAACTGTGCACAATGGGGATAGATGTTAATTTCAAAGTGAAACTGAAGTCACAGAACAGATACAGACATTCAGGATGGCTTCATCTTTGAGTGGAAATCTGTTCCTGATGAATCCCTTCCAAAGAGGAGCAAATAGTTCCTTCCTGCTGATGCAGTATTGTTTCAGCTGCAGCTACAGTTAGTCCTGCCACATGGTTATATTAATTTTAGGGCATTAAGAAAGCCAGACTCCTACTGGAAATGACCAGGGAGGCAGAGCCACACAAAAATCTTCAGCTTGGTTTGAAATCAAGATCCCAGAGGTGGACATTAATATTTCAAGCTAGAATTTAGTGCCTCAGAAAAACAAACTAAAGGCTTCAATCCTGGGAGTCACAGTATCAATAGCTGAAAAACATACCCAGGTGCTTACATCTGCCTACTGAAAATGTGTGTGACACTTGCATCAAACTGGGAGCACCACCAGCTGAAATTGACCCTTATGGAGAAATTTTCAGATATCTTCCAGCACAAAGTGTTATTTCAACTTTCTACCAGCTCTCAACCTCCAGAACAGCCTACAGAGGGATTCAAAGATCTTTATACATAACAGACTAAGTTCAAGAAATAGAGGGTAAATGTTTTTATTAAACAGTTTACATCATTTATCTAGATTAGCATTGTTGTATATTTGTACTTACACAGATGCAGGTTTTGGTTATTTTTCCTTTAAAAATCTCTTTTAACTCTAAATAACATTCACCACTACTAAGAAACCCATGAGACACAGCAAACAAAAAACACATCTGAATATCTAGGCACCGCTTTAAAATTCTACTGCTTTAAAAAACAACTTTGCTTGAAAAACTTAAGAGAGTTCATAAATGTTCACTGCCAGGGGAGAAATACATTTCACAACACCTAAATGTACACATCTGAGATGGTTAAAGGAAAAAAAAAAGAAGAATTTTCCATTCTTTGTCAGACTTTTTCTGTTGAATCATTTTCTGCCTGTTTTTGCTCATACAACTGAGTCCACTGCCTCTAAACATCTGTAAATATTGCAATAATTGCTTTTGTTGGTCCCATAACAATTCCATAGGCCATGACAGTAAAGTCTGTGGTTTATGATATCACCAAATCCCTAAGGAAAATGTCAAGCTGCATCCCAGCCGTCCAGTTGAAAAATCTGTTACGAGAAACCTCCTTTCTGAATTATCTAAATAGTTGAACAACTGTTAGTACAAAGCCTAAGACATCTTCAAAACACTGTCAAATTAAAGAAACGTTGAGGGATTTATCAGCAAAGTGAAGTGTTTCCATTGCTATCCTCAGGGCAAGCAGCAGATCACAGTCTGCAGAAGGTCCTGGCTGTATCAACCTAAATCAGCTGCTCCAGATAACATTTTTCAGGAAGACTTTGAGCTCTCAGGAGGTGTTGCATTAACCTTGCTGGAAAATTGCACCCCAGATTCAGCAGAGCTCTGAGGCACGTTCCTGATTTTACGTCAGTGGAACACAGAAATATGTTTATATAAAAATATGCTTACGTGTTTGGTTGAAACAAAACCTAAACCCTCTGGTTTCTTTCTCCAGACTTGTTGTTGCAGTTAGCTGAGGAGCAGCTTTACCTACCTTGTTCTCTTGCTGTCTGTTGCCCTGAGCTCCAAGAGATCATTTCTCAGGGAGATGGAATTTCATTTTTGATTCTCCTGTTTATTTTTTTACTTCAACAGAGAATACAAGGACAATACTGTTGCAGGTTGGTTTGGGGGATGACAGCTCCACCAGAAACTGCAGAACAGATCAAATCCCTTTTTAGGTAATCCACCAAGCAGACAGAGAGTTACAGATTTTTGTGCACTGTCTCAATATGTTTGAGATTTTTTTTATCAAGACAAATAAAGGCAGTCATGTGTGTTGAGCAATCCAAAGCCCTTGAATGATAGATCAAGGCAGCTGACATCAGATGGAGCAGGGCTGCTTTTGGTGGCCTGGCTTGGAACTGCTAAGAATTACCACGAGAGTTTTCATTCCAGCTTAGAATAAAATATATGCAATTTTAATAAAACCAAAATACTCCAGAACCCTGCTTCAAATGTTAGTGTATTTAACTATTCAACTAGTTTTTCGGGGGCCTATTTTCTCATTAATCCACTGGACATAGTTTGTCACTCTTGTGTATACTCCAGGTTTGTTGACTCTGCCACAGCCATCTCCCCAGCTGATAATTCCATAGAGGTAAGAGATGTCATTTTCCTCACAAGCCAGAGGTCCACCAGAATCTCCCTGCATCAAAAGTAAGCAAAGGTTATCTAATTTGATAGAAAGCAGTCAGAAGATCAGTTAGGGAAAGTCATAAAATAGGCATTATTGCACAAGAGATTTAAACTAAAAAAAACAAAAAAAAAACATTTCACTGAAGTTTCATTATAGAAAGCATTTTTAGTCACATTCAAATATAATGGTGGATTTTTAAAACTATGCATTAACAAAAGCATCAAAATATCAGATTTTGTTTAAAAACATGAACATTTTAGATTCAGAGACCTACTGAAAAGCATGGTTGATGTAGATAATTTTTAATGGAAGTGAACAAGCCTTTGGGGCTTGGCACTGTGTTGCAATATCAGCACTGCATGGAGGGGCTACATGGGTGCATTTGGAGAGATTCTCAATGCAGTTTATTGCAACTTTCAGAGAACATGAGAGTTTTTGAAGAAAGAAGTTGCATACAGCCACACTTTGGGACTGTGGGATTCTGTAATTTTATGTGGCATATGGGGTTTTGCGTGTGTTTGAATTTGCTAGCGAGTATTTATCTTGTCATTAAACCATAAACTGAAAAGCAGCCCAAACTAACTACAGCAAGGGTTAATTTTGAACATTTCTACTTATATTAAACCTTGAAAACATTCAGGACAGGGGGTTTTATTATTTTTGTTACTCTTAGATTGACTTTCTAGGGAAATTAAAATGTTATAAATTAAAAATGTGACTTAGTAAATGGTACTGGTGAAAGCAGCCATCACTCTAGTTATTTGGGACCAAGGAGAAATATTTTTTTCCTATCTCAAAAGAAAAATTCCTTGAGACCAAAATACATAGAAAAATTGTGTTGCCTTTATACTGAAGATTGCTGTGATAAGTGAGGGACATCAGATGAATTCTTGCTTGTTTGCGTATTTTTCACAATTAGTCTAATTGATTGCAGTTTTGGCATCAGTGCACTAATTAAATGACAAAAGTTTCCAAGAAAATCTTTTAAAAATAATCAAGGGAAACACATTGTCTGTTTGAAGTTTCTAGGTCTTGGAATATTTTTTATACATAACAGATGGTTTACAGGTTAATATCCTAAGTGTACATTAAGAAAACCCAGAGGTCAGCTACATATGTTGTTACATTCAGAGGTCTACATTATTTCTCCTCAGACCCCACTACAAGTCTGACAATAGGGAAAAATGAATTATTGATTCACTAGTAATGATTTCATGTCATGAGCACTGTTCTTCAGCAACATCTGTTGATTCAAAATCGCTGTTTCTCAGACTTTGTAATTCTCTCCAGACCACTTGTCTTTGTACAACTCCTTTCTCCTTCCTTCCACTTTCTTTTCTCCTTCTCATTCCCGATTTCTGTTTGTCCAGGGCAGGGAGAGAGAGTCAGCTGTAATGCTGTCTCTTATTTGCACTTCCTGGGAAAGGCAAGGGGAGCTGGGCAGGCAGGGTCATTTCCATCTCTCTGGCTCGTGTGACCCCTTGCAGCCTCAGTCTCAGCCCTGGCCTTGAGCCACTGCTGGCTGCTGCCATGTCACTCTTGCCACCTTTCTTTGGATATGTTTATAACCCCTATGTGGCTTCCAGCACACAGTATACAAGATATTCTTGCCTGCACTTACACTGCCAGCTATTAGCTATGTGCTGCCTTTTCACGAATTTATGTTAATAGAGCAAAACCCTCCTTCAAAACGAGCTGTAGATGAAATCTGAAGTTTTATGTAAGGAATAATCTGATCCTTCATTTTAAGAAGTCTCATCTATCACCACAACAATTCTGCATCCTTATTCAGAGCCGAGGTGTGACATAACTGAAAGTAGTGAGAGCATGAGGTCATTTCATGAAAGACTGAGGTTACATAACACAGTTTCCTATTGACTGACATTCTACACCATTCAGTCACATCCACTATAGAAACCTCAGCTCCTTCCTCCAAGCCTCACCACTGCTCCTCACCTCCTACCCAGGTGTCCTTATTTTCCCTCAGTCAAGAGGCAGCAGCTCTGGGATTTGTCCCCACTCAGGTTCATGCTGGTTTTCCTGCTGGCACATCCCTGCCAGCTGGGCAGAAATCCATTGCCACCACCTGCAGGCTCAGCCAGGACTAGAGCAATACACTCTCCAGTGCACAGCCACTGCCCTATGTGAAGGTAGGAGGAATGTAATACCCTGGAGCCCTTCTGTAGAGCTTAATTGACATTGAACAAGAACAAAAAAATGAAGGTGGAAGCAGTCATATAAGGTTCTTTTCTTTAGAAATATTTCTTTTCTTTAGGAACACTATAAAATCAAAAGTAAGAATTGTAACAGTGCAGTATTTGTGACCAAAATACATTTCTATCACTTGCCTAGAGATGACCCAGCATTACCTGACAAGCATCAGATTTGCTATCAAAGTAGCCAGCACAGAACATATTTTCTGTGAGTTCTGTTCCATAAATTTCAGGACTTCTGCACTTCTCCTCTGAAATAAGTGGAACCAGTGTTTCTTGCAGGACATCTGAATAACCAGATATATCTTTAAAAAATTTCCCAGAAAGGAAAAGAAAGTCATTTTCATAGAATGTCAAGAGCATAACAGGAAAACACAAGGCACAACACATTTAACACATAATAAACACGTTTAACACCTCTCAGTAGTATTCATGCTATGGACACCTTTGAAATAAAATAATTTTTATAGTGATCATTTTCTGATCCTCGAGTCAGACTCTGTAAAATAACAGTATTGCAATGTCCAGTCATTGATATATTTTGGCTTCTCTCTTTTTCTAGAATCTCAGCAACAGTACCCCAGCACTCCAGATCTCACCTGTTTCCAGATGTGATAATAAATCATCCCTTTTTCAAAGACTCCATTACTTCTTTTTATCTTTAGACTGCACATTTAGACTGGGATCTTTGCTCATACTTTATCTGTCACCAAAATGTGGCAGCCAGCTCCTCAGTCCTTCTCATCTACCTACATAGCTCTTTGCTATCTCAGCATTGAAGCAGCATGGTTCAGCCTCATAATCCTGAAATTCCTCCTCTGAAAGGATGGGATGATTTTTTCCACCTTTCTCAAGCTGGGTGTAAGCACTTCTTAGCCCAAAGTCTACCTGGCCTTCTCCTATCAACATTTTCAAAGTTTCTTGATGGTGAAGTTAAAAATTTCTATCTGGAGAAATCAGGGGAAGGATTCGCTTTACTAAAATTCCAGGTGTTGGCACTCCAACAAGCTACTTTCTCCCCTCCCAGCCCACCTGAGATCTCATAGCTCCTTCCATCCTGAAATTAGTGCAAACATTTGGTCAAAGGAACCACACTCCAAATTTCAAAGCCTATAAAGGAGGTTCAGGATGACTATTTCAGATGTAAATGTTGCAAACTCCAAAGGTAGGTAAAAAGAATCCCACCAGAAGTCCCTTGCAAAACATTTTACCAAACTCTCAGCTGTATAACATATACCTGAGCATTATGCTTTTATTATCATCATTTTTTTCTACAAACACCAGATCTCATTTTACTCACTCTCATGCTTGTGTCCCCATCCAGAAATCTGACATTTCAACTGGTCAGGGAAAACAGTGTTACTTTCTGGCAGGCAGATGGGCTGAACAAACTGGGACTTCACAGCACAACGTTGGCCGTTCTTCTTCAGCTTAATCAAAGCTGCAGAACAGAAAATGCAGGAGGAAGAAAGTGACTGTTCCTTTTCTTTAATGGGATTGGCAGTAATGGGTCTCAAATACAAATTTAATTATCCCCTAAGCCTCTCTTAATTAAGATATTTCAATCAAAGACAGACAGACTCATCTCAACAGCACCTGATTTCACAGCAAATTGAAGGCTGAAACATTCAGCTACTCCCCTTGTGGGAATATTTATTTTATGCTATGCTCACTGAGCAGATTTTGCTTCACTGCCTCTGTAGAGAAGGGGGAAGATAGAAAATACATGTGTCTCCTCCCACCTTATAGTTAAATAACCGTGACATATCCCCAACTTTCAGCTGAAATAAGTGGGATGTGCAAATACTCACTGCTTCTGAAAGCCTGGCCACTGGCCTAATTCCAATTCCATTTAAAAAATTAATTACTCCAAGAGCTGGTGTGTTTCGTGTCCTGTTATCACTGAGTTCAGCAAAATTCAAGATGTTTAAAATTAAGGAATAAAACCTTGGGACATTTCAAAACCAAGCTTCTTGAAGCTGCACAATATTACATAACCTACACAATCTTTACTAACCAGTTATGGGCTTGTAAACAGTGTGAATACATAGCTGTGCAGCATCATGAGGTTGACACTGAAATATTTCAAAAATTGTTTCACCTGTGGAAAATCTCTTTCAGTTGGCTATAAAGCAGCAAAGGGGGCTTTGTACTGAGTGGAGCAAGGGCAGCATGTTGGTTTGGCCACACCACTCAAAGAGCTGAGGTAACGTGGACACACCTATTAAATCTTCTCATCAGGCCTTTAGGAAGCTCAGAGTTTTGTGAGCACAGCTGTGTGGAAAGCAAGTGACCTCACTGGTCTTATTTCTCTACCAGCTAGTTTTTTTGCCTTAGTGGAACATAGAAGCAGTATCTCACAGCCTGAGAAACCCACACAAACCTCGATCCCAAACGTCCTCACCTTGCTTCTCTTCCCCACTAACTCTGTCTGCTTCTGAATCCCTCAAATTTCCTAGCAAACACTCATGTGATGGCTGTTTCCTTTAGAAAACTATTTTCAGCAGGACAAAACTCTTCTGTTGCATCAGTAGAAATCACTGTCTGGACAGAACAAGCACCTGCATCTTCCCCCCACAACACAGTTTCTGCTTTCTCATTTAGTTTTGCAGTTGGGCTTGTCTTAGGCACCCCATGTTCAGCTCTCCTAGATTTGGACATATCCCACTGGTGAGGCATGCCTACCTAATTTCAGAGTAATTAAAAAAGCTATGAGGTCTCAAAGCATCATGGGGGGTTTTCACCAGGAGATTTGAGAGCAATGTCTCAAATCCAGTTTATCTCCTTGTACACTGTGACAGAGCTCCCACCAACACAGAACTTGAATGCTTTTTGCTATAGAGTAGAAAATACTCACCATCTGTGAGCCAAAAAAAAAGCCAGTACATGCCTGACCTAAAATATTCCCAATGTCAGGCTATTAAATAATCTCACAAAGTGCTCACACAGCTTGATGCCCTGGGGTGACATGACAACTTTCACAAGAGCAGATCAGAAAATAAGAAATAAGTTGCTGCTCCATTGTCATTCTGACTAATAGTATAAGGTCAATCAGAAGGGCATTTAACTTCTGACTGATAAGACAGCTGATTTTTAAATCTATCTCAGTGTAAAAAATGATTCTTAGTGCCACAGGTTTTCAGAGCAGATGGGGTTATTACATTCATCTAGTCAGATCCTTTATACAATACAGACAATAGAATTTTACCAAGTAATTCCTGCATCAAGCCTACAGCTTCTGGTTCAGTTGAAAAAATGCCTAATCTCACAAAGACTTGAAGTGATGATCAATCTGCCACACATCTAGGTAAATTGCTCCAAAGGCTAATTATCATAATTATTTAAAATTTGCAATTTATTTTTCATCTGAATTTGTCTAGCCTTCAGATGCTGTTATAACTCTGGTAGAACTAAGAATCCTCTGCATTCAAAAACCTCTCCTAGTAGCTATGATTTTTCCACTCTAAAGGCAGTTTCTAACAGACCATCTAAACTTGAAACTAGGTTGAGTAAATGGAAAATAAAACTGTCTGAAGACAAATACTCACCAATATCATGTTCAGTAGGATTGAACACGGAATACTGAGGATGCAAGATGTATTTCTCTATCTCAAATGTCTGTGTTACATCAGTTGTTTTATTAAATATTTGTTGACCCAGAACTACTCGAATGGTAGATTTTAGTGGACTGTAATGCAAAAGAGAGACAAGCAGTTCTGTGATTAGCAGGACAAATGCAGCTGATTTTCCAGTGGCTGGGTATTCTATGAACCATTATAACCTCAGCCTCCCACCATGTCCATTATTTACCCTCTCATAATGCCTTTACCTGTTCCCCAGGCTTCCTGCATACAGAGGGCAAGGAAAAAGATGTTACAGTGAGACCCATGCTCTGTGGGTCCTGATCAGCCTAATTAAAGGCTGCTGCTTCTTGAAAGAAGGAAAAGGCCAGCACAGGCACTGTGCCCAGCTGCTGCTTGGCTAACAAGCATCTTTGGGGGTGCTAACACCTCTTCTAGAAACTCAACTGAGTCAACTTAAACTCGGCTTTGCCAATGATTACAAAAACTGCTCAGAAAGAAAGGAAGGATCAAAAGATGTGTCAGTGGTGGATATCTCGTTTCTCCAGGAAAACAGTCTACTGAAAAAAATTACAGGCATGGGCCAAGATTTAAAGGTGCTGGCACATTGACAATTCAGGAACATCCGGGAAGCTTCAACTGAAAAGATATCACCAGTTCTGAGATTTGCTTATCTATGTTAAATCTGTTGTCCAGAATCAAAAGCAACCTGGTGAAGTCCCAAAAGCACATGGATTTAATGGGAAACTTCACAGCCAGAGGAGAACACAGTATTTGCAATTCACACCATCTTTTCCAGCTATCAGTTTTTCACTCTAAGGAGGCCACAGTCCTCTGATATCCAGTGTCCTAGGAAAGTAAATTAATAAGAACAAGTATAGAAACTGGGAAGTAAGGGACATTTTGGAATAATCAGGAAGTGTTTAGGAAGGCAATATAGTCTCTAGCTTTGAAAGCAAAAGAATTCACATTTCACTCTTGTTCTAAAACTAATTCAAACTGCATAAGTCTACAATGGATTAAGTTAGCAAGTTTCTTCAACATTGGAGCACTCCTGTGTTTTGTTACCCAGGGCAGGAGGAGGAAATATCTGGTGTCACACATCATGCACAGACACAGAGTGGTTTGCATCATTGCAGTTTCCCTGGTTGCATTTCTGTGCCCAGCAGGTACAAAAGCACCACAGAACCTCCCCCAGTACTGAGTGCACAGCAGTGACCAGCAGCCATGGACTCAGAGGAGATTCTGGGCAATTACAATGCAGAGAGATAGAAGCCACCCTGCTACAAGAACTATGCTAAAGATTAACAAAGGAAAGGGCAAAGGGTATTCTGTATTACTGACATAAAAGAAGGCAATAAAATGTTCTTCAATCAATATGTAAGGCCATGATCTTCTCAGTATTTTTGCAGCAGTAAATCAACCTCCTTGAAAATCAAATTTTGGGCCTGTATACAGTGGAAGTTCACTTTCTGGAACAGTATTTAAAATAATTTTAGAAGCACTGAATGGTTCTGCTAGGACTTACAGATGGTTCATTCAGGAAAAGAAGTAAAACAGGAGGAGTTACAGAAAAGAAAAAAGAAATAATTGAACTGCACAGGTATCTATTGTCGCCTAGTGGAAAACAGTTGGAATTGTGACTACCAGAGGTACTAAACAAACAGAAGAGCACAGATTACAATGCAGTAATTATGGAAAATCTGTACATACCAAACGACCAGCTGGAAGTGGGTGGAAATGTCCTGAACAGCTGCCAAAGTTAGTAGCTATTTCACAACATTTGAAAAACAAATGCATTGTGGCTTGGGCTCCAAATGCTTCAGTACAGCATTCACAGTGGTATTATTAGCTCTAAAAGCTATCAGTGTCTATATTCTGGCAAAAGGTTTTCTGTTTCTCTTGGCTTCTTTACTATGCAAAGGAACAATGGGTATCAAATGATGTAATATTTTTCCCTTCAACGTGATCAAACTGAAATCAGGGAAAGTGTTGAACATTTGTAGAAAATTAAGTATTTAGAATAAAGTAAGAGCATCCTATAATCAATATTTTCTCCAGTGTCCCACAGGAGAAAACAAAAAAATCTCTCAAGAAAATCAGCTTCAGAAGTTTGACAGTTTAAGTTCTTCCATGTGGCTTCTTGTAAAGCTCAGCCCACTCTATTTGTGTCAACCAACAGTAATTTATCGTCTCCAATAAATCATTGCTTGGCTGTCTCAGCCTTTCTGAACAAAACACAGCAGAGAGCACAGTCATCTCTGTTATATCTCAAAACAGGCATAAACATTCAGAAAGGTAACCAAGAAGAAGAGAAATACTTCTGTTCCCCTGCAGGTTCTTGCACATGCAATGCCCCATTATATGTGCTGCTTCACCCTACCTTATTCCTTTAGTCAGGGTTTTTAGACTCTTTGAGACTCCCTAAGGAACAAGATAAGGGCTTATGAGATTGTAGTAGTCCAAGCCATTTTTCAGATCATGAAGAGTATTCAAATTGCCAGAAATTCCTTTTGACACACTGTTCTTTCATAATCTCATCTTCTTTCTTGTTTCAGTTCAGGTTTGTTGTGAGGACCCACTGCCACACTAAGGGGTGAGCTTACCTGTGAGCAAAGCAGTGTGCTGCTGACACAACCCAGCATGTCTGAACCAGGCTGCCACCACAGAAACTCTCTCCAATATATATAGCTGCAGTCCAGGGGTGAGATCCAGGCAGAGATGAAGATCCCCCAACAATCCTAGGTCTCACAAAACTTCTTTTTTTATGTCTTCTTCCACATGGTCTTTTGGTGCTTGCAGAATTATCTACTTTGGCTGGAACTACTGGCCTCCTTTCCCTGCTTGCTAAGATAAAAAGGGATATGGCTTCAGACTACCAGAATCTTTCTGTTTTAGAATTAAACATCATGTCTCATAAATCTTCAGGATGTAGACCTCTCATTGTTCACAGAGGTCCACTCCCTTTTCTGGGCCTGTAATTCCCAGAGTGATGACAAGTTTTACCAAAGTATCAGTAATTTCTGGCACCTTGCATGTTCTAGCAGAAAATTTGGTGATATTGGGATGGTTGTGACCAAAACAGTAGTATGACACTGCTTCTGTTTCAGGACAAGAATCACAGACTGTATCACAACTCCAAAAATGCAAAAGAAGCCTGTTGTTTACTGGAAACAGTAAAATATTCGACACTTCTGGGAGCAGTAGAGCATTCAAAATGACACAGTGAAACCTTGTTGTAGTATCAATAAATCTTCATTCATTCATAGCATGGATTTTAAGAAAGCCTTTACATACCACAATTTGGAATGTCACAATACTCCCAAGACAAACTGCTGTCCTTCATGATGTAACACCAGGGCTTATCATCATCATCTGGATTTCTGGTGAATTCAGGGGAAGAGGGAATTACAAGCATTAACCACAGTGTTGTTCCAAGCTTCCCAAAGGTTTTCTTTTTCCTCTTGCACCATGCAGAGAGAGCACTGAGGGCTCTCAGATTTTGAGCCATGTGACAAAGGACTCACCTACAAGGGTGAGCAGCTTTTCAATATAATTATTCATCTTAAAACTAACCAAGACTACGGTTCTCTAGGACATGAAATACTGACACGACTGAACACCTGTAAAACTTCCCTACAAGTATTTGGATGCATGAGCACGTTCACAGCATTTAAGTACAGCCCACACTGAAGTGCTTTCACAGGTATCAGCTCAGCTATTTTCAGAACTAAATCCTATCGGAGAGATTCGTGTTTTAGGTTATTTTTTAGGCGAGGAGATTCCAACACAGGTAGAATCATAGAGAATCCATAACAAGAATAGCTAGCAAAAATGAATTTGCAAATCTCAGGTTCACATTCCCTGGAGAGTCTGAGGAAATGAAAGACTATTTCAAGAAAATATTGTATTCCTCAGAAAGGTTGGGAAAAGAAAAAGGAGTAATGGAAACCATTTTTCCCTTTATTACCTTGGTGTTAAACAGATTTTGGTTTGATTCCATTGGGGTTTCTCTCTGGTACACCTGTCTTTATCAGTGCATTATAAGTGACCAGAAATCTGCCCAGTTTACACCTCCAAGAATATAGGGAGACTTATTAGACTAAGAAGAATAGACAAGGTAGTTCAGAGCTCCAGATAAGCAGTAATTCTAATTTCAGTTGGATTTATCACAAGCACTATCTTCGGTTATTTTTTTCTTTTTCAATCTGACTGCTCTTCAGAAAAAGATAAGAGCACTTTCAAATTCTCAGAACTGAAGAAGCAACACAGGTTGAGTCATCTTCCGCCAACAATGTTTCTAAATTAGACTATTTGAAGAAGAAGATATCTGCAGGATTATATAGTACAGCAGAGATATCCCCAGAAATTGTAACAAGCTGACAAAAAAGTGAAAAGCTTTTTTCTCAGCTCTACAGAACATGAACACATCAGCTCCTACACCATTTTGTTCTCTGCATTTCAAATCTGGAAGTGAATATTGGGCATAAATGATGTAAATCAAAGGGCTCAAGTTTCATCAAAGCACAAAATATGTGCCAGGTAAATTGCCACACTGTGCTGGGACACCATAAATCAAATACTGAAATGTTTGCATGAGGAGCAAGCCCTGGAAATCAAGGTGGGAGGGTTTAAAGGACGGGGTAGGAATTGTTTATTGTTAGTTTGTGTTAGATAGAGAAGGGCTACTTTCAGCATTCATGTACACTTTTTTTCACCAAACAAATTAAGAAGTGCAGTAGATTCTGATTTTCCTGAACTACTGGTCTAAGTTCCATTAAAAAAAAAAAACCACACACACACACATAAATTAGCAATCAAGCAAACAAACAAAATCTTCAATCAAGCAATCAAGCAAACAAAAGGCATCAACCAGTAATTTATGGAGAATCATCTATAGTTTGGCAGGTTTAGCATTTTTTCATCTCCAAGATGAGAAATATTCTCTCTAAATAAAAACATTTCCTTTATTTGTGGATATCCATTGAGCTCATGGATACCTCAGAAACAGGGGGAAGAACATAAGGTGACTGAGGAGAAGGCACAAACCTACATAGCACAAGCTATTTTCATTATAGCTTAACTGCATATAGAAAACTTCAGCAGAAATGTAGTTTATCAATATTTGGTGCAATCGAAATTTAAACACTGGGACATCTTTGGCAATAGTTTTCCTTTGTAAGAAATCCAAAAAAATAAATTTGACATCCCATTTCAATCTTATTTAAATATAGTGCTTTGATTTTTCATTTTCAAATAACTTGTCCCTTTTAAAAAAATTTCTTTATGGTATGTCTTTCACAACCAAAGAATAAAATGTTAAATTTAGCCATTTCAATTTAGCTAGTGCATTGATTTCTCCTTTTGGATAAGCATTAATGAACAACGTCAAAAGTTTTGCATTATGGTCTTATTTGGGAAAAAAACCTCATTACCTAGGGGAAAAGAAAAGGACCTGGAATTTCCAACATTATTTTGTGTCTGAGCTTCTCTCAGCAGACCCAGGTATTGATTGAGCCTTTCTACCTTTCTACCTTTCTACCAGATCTTGTCTTCTGTAAATCACTCAGTCAGGCTGGCTGATTACTGAGGTCAGTCTGGCTTTCCTCAGACAGGGGAACCCTGCTTTGAGATCCCTGGCCCTTCTCATTTCCACATCACGTCCATCTCTGGATGTACAAACGCAGGATAAACAAGAACTTTCCTCACCTGCAGTAAGGAAAGGGTCCCACACCAAGCTCCACTGCTTTCCTAATGCTGTCAACATGAAGCTCTTGGTAAAGCAGGTCAGAATTCCAAGGCAAGCAGCTGTGTCCAGAGATGGTTGTCTTGGCTGTCCCTCTGTAATCTGTGCCATTGCCAATGTAGCACCGTTGGCTCGGGACTGGCAGAGGAAGAGACTGGTCAGGAATCAGGAATCAATGCTAACTGCATGGTAAGTACTCACTTCACAGCTGAGGTTTGAAATGAGAGCCCAACTTTGTAATGCCTTTTTCCTTAAACAGGACCTGAATGCACCAAACAAGAATTTTTTTAATAAGAAAAAAGGAACCCAAGAAGTTAAAACCTCTGCTTAAAATTAGTAGTAAGTTAAGCTCATTTTACACAGGAGCAAGTAACTAATCAAGAGACAGAATGGCAGAAAATTAGACCTAAAATTTGTACTGTGTATGGAAGATTTCAGTCAGCAATCTGCAGCAGAGTCAGCAATATGGCTGGGATTCCTCTGGTCTAATTTTAGACACAACTGAGCTCATCTCTGGAGGCTCCCTTTTTAGTTAATTAAGAGAAACAGAGATTTCTAGTGCCAAATCGATGCAGCCTGTTTGAGGTAACTTTCTTAAAGTGAGGTAGACCCCATAAACTCCTGTCCACATTGAATGAATCTCCATTGAAAATACAGGGTGCTTAAGGCAACCAGCTCAAACAGAGACATAGTACTGAAAATAACATATCACTGCTCTGCAAGTGCTTCAAGGGACTGATTTTTGAAAATACTTCTTTTAATGGCCTCATATGTGCCCATATATATATATACACAGACACTATACTCATGTATATTACAAATGTGTAGCTACATGTTCCAGATACATCAATTTTGCAAAATTCTAACTAGTAGGTTGAATTTTCTTCTTCGAAACCCACATCTTTGTCACCTGCATAAGGGCTATTTCTTCAGCTAGGTCTGACACATACATATTCCATGACCTGTATACTCAGCTGCCAAGATCTATCAACAGCACATACCAGCATTATGGCTGAAAAACATATGGGGATGCATTTGTATACAAATAGCTACACTGAACAGAAAGCCTACACCTCAAAACACAGCTAAGAGCATCCCAAAGGAAACACAAAACCATCTAATGCACAAAAAGGATTAATTGTGAGCGAGCCTCAGAGGGTTTCTTGTCCCAGCCATGTCAACGTGACATGTCCTTGACATGTCACAAGACTGGTGGAATCTTCTTCTAAACTTATAGGCATACTTAAAGATATAACATCATTGGCCAACTGTTGAAAAACACCCTCTGAGGATGATCCATCATACCACACAGTGCAGACAGCTATTGCCAAAGACCTGTTTGTTTTGACAGAATAAGGTGACACATGAACCAGGGCACATAACCAGGACTGAAATAATGAACCACAGTGCTGAACTGCTGCTGTTAATTACCCTGCCAAGTCATCAGTGTAGTGACAGAACTCAAAACCACAAGCAAGCATATGGCATAAATCTGGGAGATGAAGGTCAAGAAGTTAGGTGGAAGAACATTAGTTGGTATACAAACACTTGGCTAAATCCACTTTCTAGCTTGGCCTGGCAGACACTTCTGACATGCTGAGATCACATTTTCTCCCACCCACAACCTGATTCAAATTGACTTTATTCAATGACTATAAAAATAACATTATATCAAACTCATATTTTAAAAATCATAATCTAGGACCTCACAGAAAATAACTTGTCTATCATTTGTACTGTTAGAAAGAGTAACCATGTCTTGGCAAACCTGCCATTTAATTTTTGAGCAAGTTGCAAGTTACCCTGCTTTGTTTGCCTGAAACAGTGTCATGAAAACACCACAATCATGCTGCATGCTACGTTTTTTCATTTTTGCTGGTGCTGTGTTTACTTGTGCTGTATTTACTGCATTCAGAAACAATTTAGAGTGGCTACTTTTATGAGAATGAAACAAGGGATTGAATTTCAGCACAGACCCAGGGCCATATTCTGCATTACCTGTGGTTTGGATGTCTTGCAGATGGCGTTTACAATTTGTGCTTATCCTTGTCAGGCTTAAAATCCAACAGATCTCTGTTTCATCAGGTCTGCCAGTCATTGCTAAAGCTGCCAGCATATTTTAACTGGAAGAATTTGGCCTCTTTCTATATCATCCCTCACGTTCTCCTTCTGTAGCTGAGAAGTTTAGATTGCATCTTGCACTTGTTGAGGGGAACAGGGATATCTCTGATGAAGTTTTTTGTTTCTTTTTTGTTTTATGAGGAGTATTTTGGAAACAGGCATAACTTGAGTTAATTTGCAACCTGTGGAAAGGCTTCTGAGGTGAAAAATTAACATTCATTAGCAGCTTTCCATTGGTCTGTGCTCCACTCCAGAAGCCTTTACCTGACTGGTTGGCAGCAGCACCATGGTACCCACTAAGGCCATGAGAAGTATCTGCAATGCTTTATACATTTTATCACCTATAATTCAGGAAAAACAGTTTTAAAAAATATCTCTGCAATTATTGCAGTCATATAGACCTTTTGCCTCTAATTCTCTTTTTTTGAACTGTTACAGCACTGAAAAACTCTCTTTTTCCCCCTTTGTCAGAAATAGTGTGTAGGTGGTCTGCTTTCAGCAGTTCTTAATGGATTGCTCTGACTGGGAACTGTTCAGTCCCAAATCCACATAGCTTCCACAATGTCTCACAACTCTGAAACATGCTTATTTCTTATGTGGAAGAAAGTCATGGAGGATGTAATATGTGTTTTCTTGTTCATTCATTTCCCTGTACTACCACAAATCACTGCTAAGAATAGAAATGGCCTAAATTTTCAGATTATGAAAGTTTTGATACAAATGCAGATTCAAGTTACTCTACAGTCCTATGCCACTATCACCCCTGTTAGTTTATTTTCAGAAAAAATAATATTAAAATTTAAAATTATAAATAATTTCTCATTGTGCTTTATTTTATCAATCTAAGGTATTTCAATAGCTCACGTAAAACATTACACATGTGTTAAAATTTTGTATTTTATAAGCAAATCTCTGCCTTTTCCAAAAAAACAGGTTTGGGTCTTAAAATTAACAGCAGCCTGAAATAGCAGTTATCCAACCAGTTCTAATTACTAACTTTCTGAAAGCATTTCACAAGACTTTTTGTCTCCAGATATTGTTTCAAGTCCTGTAGTTATATACCTGAACATTTTCAGGAGTTTGTTTTGAAACTCTCTGCAGAAAACAATGAATCTTTCACATTTTCTTTTCCCCAAAACACCTCACCATCAATTTTCCTGATGTTTTTGAGCTTGGAATGTATTTTCTTTTCCAGATACACATAAGCTGTTTCATTCTATTTATAAAAATATGGTTTTCCATCAATGGTTCTGATTCTGGGACAGGATGGTTTAAAGTAACCCTTTCATTCAGCAATGCTTTGATTTATCCCTGGCCAACATGTGATGCGTTTATGAAGTACGATGTTAGATTAATTTTATTTGTATGTAAAGCTGATGGCAGGAACAGAGAGGGGGGAAGAGGAAAAGGACATATCCAACCTAAACCTCCCCTGACTCAGCTTGATGCTGTTTCCTCAAGATGAACAGCAATGAACAATGATTTTCTACACCTCTGCATTAATTTGTTGCTTACATGGCCTCAGCATTGCAGGGTGTGTTGCCCTTCAAGCCATCCTTTACCAGGGCATAAGCCAAATTTCCTTTCTGCATGAGTTCAGACTCATGGGCTGCCTGCAGAAGGGTTTGTCCTTTCTTCATTCCGCCAGAAGTTCCCTGATCTCCCTTCCTGGGTAGCTGTGAGATGCCCTCAGAGATGAAAGGTGTGAAAGCCTTTGATTTGAGGGAGCTGCACTTCCCCTGCTGCACAGGCAGACCATGGCTACTCCAGGCTGGCAGGAAATGTGTGAGAGAGAGGAGTCTCTGGTACTCGTGGAGATTGCTCCTACCGGCATCTCGTTCCATCAAATTGTGTGAAACACAGCACACACAGACACACACACCCTGCCAGGTGTTCTGAGAGCAATGAGGCAAATATTCCTGTGCTAAATGAAACAAACACCATGAAGAGAGCTTTGGAAGACATCCACCCAGTACTGCTCCCAAAGGAAGATCTGACTTCCAGTGTGTCCCTATGCCACTGAAAATCTCTGTAAGTATCTAAGGAGCGGACTCCACTGAAGAGACCACTTTTTTCACTCATTAATGATGAGAATGTGATTTCTGATGACATGAGGCATAGGTAGGATTGCTTGGCAGTAGCACCAGGACTGGACTGTTCCTGGCTTGAAGCAAATTGCTTCACATTTTTCCTGCCTGTCTGTCAATGTGAGCAGTAATAGCACCCACTGTGGCTTTCCAAGTTTAAAAATTAATGAACACATACCACAAGTGAAATATAAGGGGACCTATGTATCTATATTTCAATATAATTCAATCATACTGATACAATATTTACCTATATTTCAATATTGCTGTTTGGGGTCATGAACAGCAGATTGCACATATACATAACAAATAACTGATTCAAATAATTGTGTCACTTTCTAGTTGTTGAATAGTAGTAAAATCTCTGGACTGACAGCACCTAACACAGGAATGAATGCCTGCTGAAACTGCAGCCTGATTATGACACAACCAATCTGTCTGAGCTAAAAGCTAGGCAGAAAAGTGGAAAAATTGGCATCTTTTTGTAATCAATAAATCTAGCAGAAAATTAACATGTAAAACAAGGATGGATTTAAGACTGTGGGGAAAAAGAAAAAAGTGATTTACCTGCACAAAACCTCTTAAAGTTGCATCCTGACATGAGGATGGCACATTACATTTACTAAAATTAGACTTATTTTTGAATATGTTTCTTCTTTAAAGTGTCTTTGTACCTTCATACTTGCCAATGTTTAGATCGTCTGAGGTAAAATTGAAGAGATTTATATCTATTATAAAAGCTAATGTACAAAGCTACCTTCTGAATAAGCTGAATTCTTAAATACAAAAGTTTAAATCCAGAAATCTATAAACTCTGCCAGTACTTTCTTACAGTTTAGAAAAGTAATATCCTAGATAAGAGGAAGGAGTGGATCTTATTCCATTTCATTTTTCTATTTATTTTCTTCAGTTCTAGTACAATAGTTATGA